ACACAACCAGCGACAACAACAAGAAGAAGCTCCAATCACCATCAACGGGAGAAATCTAAAGAAAGTAGTCTCTTTCACCTACCTTCCTAGGCAGCATCGTTTCAACAAGTGGGCGGCACAGACGAGAATGTCAAAACCAGGATCGGAAAAGGAAGACAGGCTTTTACTAACCTGAAATCAGTGTAGAGATCTACTGCACTCAGCACAAAGAACAAGATCCGAATTTTCAACACCAACGTCAAGTCAGTGCTTCTATATAGTTCAGAGACCTGGCGCGTTACGAAAGTCATTTTCAACAAACTACAGACATTCATCAACAGCTGCCTACGCTCGTTACTGAAACTCAGATGACCAGAAAGAATAAGTAACAAGGAACTCTGGCGATGAACCAACTAAGAGCCTATCACCCAACAAATATGCAGAAGGAAGTGGAGATAGATTGGGCATACACTGAGAATACCGACTGGGGACATCACGTGCCAGGCCCTCGAGTGGAACCCAGATGGGAAACGACGAGTTGGGCGTTCGAGGCAAGGGTGACATGAAGGAGATCATGTGTGGAAGAAATGAGAGTTTCTGGGCAGTCGTAGCACCAGATTGAAAAGACTGCAGGGAGGATAGTGCAACGGAGGCGTGCTACTGAAGCCCTATGTTTCACTCGGAACGCAGGGGAGGAAAATAACAATAATGTAGTCACATGATCGTTTGGTGGTTTGAAGAATAATTAAACGCATAGTGCTTTTTTCCGTGTGTAATTTCTAAAATTTAGCAAGTCTTTTTGTTGTGCTAGCCTTAGTATTATTTCTTCCAGGAACAGGTTACAGGACACTGAATCTCATGTCATGTGGTTTCTGGCCCAAATGCTTCTTCCAGCTACCCAGAATGGTGCATGATTCCTGTTACGTTTGTTGTGTAGAGATGAAAGAAACACTTCTATTCATTTTTAATTTTAAATCGGATTCCTTTCACACATTTTTTGTAACACTTACGTTTTATTGATATGCAGTACGATGTTTTCCATGGAACAGATACTGTAACTGTAAGAGTGAAAGGGTTCCGTGCTTTGCATGTTCTGCTTCCCTGTGCTTCAGTCTCTGGCAGCTATTGTCTGACTGTTTTGTAAACGTTGAAGATAAAGTTGCTTCTCATTCCAAACATACGAAAATCCATTCCACTGTGCTATCTTCCATCTCACTGCCAAACCATGTATAGTTGAAATATAAGTTTTTGGTATATCGCACTAAAAGGGTCATTTCCAGATAACTCAAACTTTTACTATTCATGGGTTAATCATCATTGTAATAGTTTTTTTGGTTTTTCATCTACATATTTTTACATTTTTTAATTACACATCAGAATATATTTTAATATAATTTAGGCTTGTTTCGAAAAATAATAAAAATTATTTCTTAACATTTCACTGCTTAAGCCACAGCTTCTTCAGCAGAATGTTTATAATGGTTGCTTATAATCCTAATTACATATAATTGACATTTTTAGGATCTGAAATGTTTTTGTTTCCCTGAAGATCTAACAGATACGTAAACAGCCTCAATTATCCTATCCAATGCTACTGAGTCTAATTTTTAAATGACGATAAAAGCAGAACAGTTTGCTGCACCATTTGTGATATAGTTGGACACTGAAAGTGTCTCTCCATCTAGTAGCATTGCATTTCCCGTTGGGTAGTATATAAAAGTCATGAAGATGACTAACCATTGAAAGTTTACTGTTCTTATCGATTTTCACGTGTATGGCAACGTATAAAATGCCTTTGACCTTGACTGAAAACAGCCAAAATATCCTTCCTGTTCCAATTTTTTCAGACGTCACCAGGGTAATAACAATGAAAGCTAAGCTTGACAGCCATGCAGTCTACAGTGGGTTTGAGTGATGTAAAGTACACAGTTGTTGTGAGCATTCAGTTACTCAATGTTACATTCGTGGGTGATCTTGAATAGTGGTGAGTGGTAGAAAAATTGATTTTAGGCACCTTTCAAGCAGTAGTCCATGCAAACTGTGAAGACAGGTATGCTGAAAATTCATTATGACTTTCATAGTGTTAATTGTTTAACTTGATTACCGAGCGTAAGGTTTACAGATATAGTATTTTATGAAAGACCGAATTAGTCTTGAGGTCATGCGCTCAGGGTCAGTATGAAGAAGCTTAAAGATAGGAGGTAGGAGGTATGAACTTTATCAGTCTGCTACCAGTGCAGGTAAAGAATAAGACTAATTCTCCCTCTGGATATTTCAACTAGTAAAACCCCATTTCTGTTGGTGAGGGAGTTCTTCGATGTCCTTAAAACGGAGGGTTGGTTACTCAGGGGCGACTGACAGCCCACAGCTGTGGAAGCAGCATCATAACTTATCCAACTGTAATATATTCACCCACTTTCTCCAATTACTTTGATGCAGAGATTTCAGTGGTTTTGAAGGAAAGAGAGAAAAATTTGTATTACTGAAAATCCATGCATATGCGGATATTTCTTCGATAGACGAAATCTGGTTTTCTTTTAACATCGCCACCTTGAAAGTCCGTATATAAAATTTACCCTCTTTCTGAAAGATCAGAGAATCAAAGAAGAAAGATGGGTGGCTCTGAGCGAAATCCCAGCCTTGAAGATTATACAGATGTCGTTTGTATTTTGCAAATTATTCCTCAACAAAACTGTACTCTGCTATGAATTTCTTTCTGATAGCCAACTATTGTTCCCTACAAGTGTTCAACAGAGGAAAGATAGCTATAACAATCCTGGCTAACAAATATAATAACTCATTCGCTACTGCTTCTATAGATCCCGTAGTTGAAGAGAGGTGAACCTATAACACTATTTAAAACGCTGAAAAATACTATTCTTTCAGCAGAACTCTTAAAAAATGAACAGCTAGTTTTCTATCCCACGTAACATTCAAACGCTTCTGAAAGCATACTATGGATTAGTACTAAATTTCAAGTTAAACTAATTTCATTTATTTGTTCTGAATACTGACTGAAACAGTAAATAACAACATTTCAAATTTCTTACTATTTGTCTTCTTAATGACTTTAAAGGTCACCTAGCAACTTTCATTATGATCGTTCAGGTTTTTTTATTTGTCATTGGGGTAGTTTCTCATCAAATAAAGCAACTTAATTAGTTTTAGGAGTGGTTGCTTGGGTGGTCTTAAGAGTCATTTTGGCGTCTGATCTGCAAGTTGTTGTCGTAAATTCTCTCGGTGTTTACCAGTTGATATAATTCAGGACATAGGAATTGTTCTTTGTAGAGTAAACAAACTTAATATTCGTCTACATATTCATGCTTATGTTGGAAGTTATCGGGAATAATAACCGTTTTGCGGAGATGACTAGTTAAAGACAAGGATAACTCGATCACCTTTCAACTAACTTATTATGTCAAGTAATATGACTCGAATATTCTTGTGAATATGCTTACAATGGGAAAACATTTCTGTTGAAATCAGTTTCCTTTCTTTTTACCAAGTAATATTCATTAAAACTAATTTCAACTAATGGGATTTCGTCAGACATAACCTGGCTTTCTCGTCAGTTGTCTCCTTTACTTTGATTTCTGCTGATTGACACAGCACAAACTTCTAAAGTTTGTGTTGATGTTGTCTAAAATGATAATGAAAGCTTCAAGATAAAACCATCCAGCTTACAGAACACAACATCAACAAAATTATTCTCCTGAGCTGAAAATATTCTCCATTATCTCAAAATCTTCAGACGCGTCAAACGCTTCTTATTGTTAGCTATTTTGTTTACGGCGTTACAACAAAAAAATTACATTTAGTTCAGTAAATGAAATCTTCTTGCTAATCGTCAGACAGGAAATACTAATCGATAAGTAAATGCAAAACTCCCTCAGCTAACTAAACCGATAATATGAATGAATAACTACGAACAACAAAAACTAGATGTGAATAGGTTGTGAAAATGTTCGTGAATGCTAAATTACTACAGGAATTCGTTTGTTTTATTTCGCTCAAATTCTTCCCCGTTTTCTCACCAGTTAGGCCTTCAATAAGGAGTTAGAACGGAAAATTTAACAAAGAAGTCCCACTTTCACATAGACATTATTCTAAATTTGCATAGTCGTGTACAAAGTTTACATTTACTTAATGGAATAAAAATATTTCATGGGTCAGTTTGGACAAAGTCTAGTTTCACTTTTATGGTTTAGCACTACTGAGGTTGTACGAAAGGAATATTTTTAACTTCTAAACCTTACTGTTCATCTTAGTCTGTGATATATGAGTATTATGGTATGCATGGTATAGTATGGTCTCACAGAGAACGCGTTGACCATCCAGCCACCAGTCCAGAGTTCATTGGTTCACAGTTTCCTACTTCTCTCAATTCGCGATATAGCACTACTATCACCCAGTCTTCAAATGGCATCAACTTCACTTCCGATTAGTCATCTTTAGAAGTCACAGCTTCTCATTAGAACTTCAAGATATCCATCTCAAAGCATGTCACTGATAAACACTATACAACAATATATTTTGGAGTTTAATGGGGATTTTATTCTTAAGGTAGTATTCATGATAAACTGATGGACGAAACAGCTATTCAGTGCTTCCAAGTTTTCGAGGGTTCTCCAAATGATGTCAATTAGTCCATGATGAACCCTACCTTAAAAAAATTCCCATCAACATCAAAAATACGTTAATATAATATTATTATTTTGGTGTCTGTATTTTCCACTGAATGCTAGGAAATACAAATACCAAGATGGTGAATACCACTTTTTTTAAACCATAAAATCCTAACTTGGTTTAGATATCCATTAAATAGTATTATATTAATTTACTGTTGTACAGCTTAAGAATACTGACTGAAAAATGAGATTTCAGTTAAATATTTCTGTCCCACCCAATTTTTAACTGACTGCCTATTAGTTAACATTCTTAACATTTGAAGATCATTAACATTTATCATTTACAGAATGTGGTTTCATTTTGACATCCTCTGAACGAAAAAAGGCCCAATTATAATTGAAAATGCTTTATTTGATAATTGAAAGAATATGATGATGGTAGTAATTGTACAGAACTGTTATTATTCATTTGCAAAAATCGCATGTTTTTGCACATAAATTTCGAGCTTCATATGAATTTAGATGACATTTTCCGCTTTGTTTCATCACAACACAGTCCATGCGAGTGAGTATATCATGACATCCATCTTGAAATAGCAGAAATATGATGGTTATTTCTGTACAACTAACACATTTAAACAATAAAGGTTATTATTTACCACATGAACTAGTTTCTTCTTCATTTTTTCTATATAAGAAGGTCAATCTTTTATGTTTGTGTTATGTATTACAGAATTGTAGGTTGTAATGGAAGCACAGCACTGATTATTAAAGATCAGTGCCTGACGTACAATATAATCGACTTTTTATAGAAACTCAATTTCAGTTCAATCCCACTTTAAGACGTTTTTCGGTCTGATGGTTACGATTCTTTCGTACTTCAGTAAGCCATTACACAGAGATCATTGCTAAAACCACTTTGTCACAAACCAAGCCTTCTACTATTGCTTGGTAATCTCCAAACCTATCCACATGGTTGGAAATTCTGTAGTACCGCGAATATTCAGATCTTTTAAGATGAAGACTACAATAATCAAGCATTTTGGAGAACTTTACCATTAATCAGTATGGTGTGGTCCTTAAAATGACATTTTTAACTTTGGCAATTTCTTTTACAAAACGGGATTTACCTAGAATAGAATATGAATTAACTTGTGAAATGGACGACATTGAACTATCAGCTTACAACTACATCAAGACGTGTTTTCCGTCTAAACTCAAACTAGAACAGTTGCACTGATGCCATAATCCATTTTTTCATAAGTAACACGTAAAAGTTTTACCATTCTGAACTGAGTTGAGTAGTAGCTTGGAATCATTAGTCAAGATATAATTCAATTAACAGTTGCTACGATGCGGGAAAAATCTCATCGTATTAAAACGAAACAAAGCTTATTAGGCTATAACAGCACGAAAGGTGCCAATTGAGCTCTTCGGTTAGTCATCATTAAGGTACAGGCAAACGAAACATTTTTAAAGGTATTTCTTTAATTTTTTGAGTTTATTCAGAACAGTGGCTGGAACTTTTGAAGTCGAAGTGATTACTAATGAGCACTTTTCGCTGTCTTTCTGGTCACGAAGTTTTCTTGCATGTCTGTAGAATGTTCAATAATGTGGGCAATCATTCTGTAAACACCATCGTAGTTGTCACCAAAATCAGTGTTAACCTTAGAGCCAGTACTATAAATATCTAAGACTACCTATCAAAATAAATGACCGATTCGAGGAGTGGATAGTATAATGAACTTTACAGGTGATTTTCAAAGTTAGCCAATGTCAGTCTCGTAAAAATTGAACATCGGTAATTGATAAAGAGTAGGCTTATTTTCCGTTGGAAATTTGTAAGACCACCAAGTCACGACGTCTGGTAAAATCATACTGACGTTACAATACCCTGCTTAATAGCTAGTGTTACTCTTACTTTAATGTAAAAAAGGTCTGTAGTCATTTCTCACATCACTGTTTGTATGTTTGATGCAAATGTCCAAATATTTATTCGACAGCGCTTACAGATATAAAAACAGCAGTATATGGGAACTTTGTAAGAAATCAATGAAAACATTACCTCCAGAGGGATGATGAACTACCGTACACTTCTCCCATCGTGTGATTATTCTTTGAATGCATTCATTTGGTTTTACAGACGAACTAACCCATGGTCGAGTAAAGAATATGATATGTTTCAGTCTTTGGCCATTGTAGCATGAACTGCGTTTCACTCGATGTGGGGGACAGTTTGAACAGTTGAACTGCCTTTGAGTTCTTTAAGAAAGTGGAATAAAATTTGCTTTAAGAAATTAGATTCGAAATTGAGACAGGAGAATATTTACCGGGAGAATACTGTTAAAGCTTTCATTTCCAGCAGCTTTTATCCTCGTAAACACTGCTTTAAGGATGCTAAGACTTTCAAGCACTTAGCTTACACGCTGTGGATAAACATTAACAGTCTAACGCTGATCCTGGTAATCCATAGAGTAAATAATGAACTTGCTGGTAGGTGAATTTTGATGTTTGATCTCTGCGACATGCTCCTTGAATGCAGCATTTCGAGATACAAACCACACCTTAGTCTGCAAACGTTTAGTCTGGTAGAAATTTGTGGTGGTCAGTCTATATTTACTGTAAATAAACAGTGATTGATGACTGTATGGGCATTTAGGCATAGTTTGAGACCTAATTTTATTCTAAATACATCCATCAGGTTGTGTGATGTGTCCAATAAGCTAAGCATATGTTCACTGACTATGGTTGAATAACCTTACTTTAAACCTTTTTAGTTTCGAATAATTAAACAAGGCACCATAATATGAAGGAAACAGGAAGTATTGTGCATTTATAGTTTACCGTGTTTGATGACTATTTTGTGGCCAGTACACTGTCAACTAACCAGTGTGCTTACTCACACTTCGCGTCTTATTGCACTAAATACATACAACTATATAGCACATGGTATTTATCTTTAAGGTAAGTTAGTATGATTGGATTTAGAATAATTTTGCACTAAGCAAGTTTTCAGTATGTAATTCTGACTCGAGTGTCTACCAATTCAACTCTTTTATTTCAATACAGTATGAACGTGAACTTTCGCATATAGAAGCATCATTTTTATTCTTGCAGAACTGTGTTATTCAACTAATCATCAGCTAAAGATCTCCAAATTTTATTCTTTATTTTACTATTTAGTTGTAGTTATTATTACAAATAGGTAAGTTAACCTTCCGAACTCAACAGTTTTCACAATGGAAGCAGATTTAAGAAGCTTAATTGAGTGGGAATACCATTTCTGGTAATCTAATATGAAGCCTAAATTTTGAACACCAAGATTACCTTTGCAGTATCTTGAGTTGACACTCAAAATCAACAACAGATGAAATTTTATGATATGTTATGCCAATTAAAGCAGAAAAAAAAATTAAATATTGATCAACTAAAACAATTAACGCTGATTACCGTCTTGTTTTACAACAACCACCTTCACTGATTACGTATTCTGTAGTGAAAGTAAGTTGAAAGAGTGATGGTCTTGTAGGCACACGATTGCAAGGGGATATAGAATACTTGTCTCTGTATGCTGCTAAACAATCTCCACACTGGAATTTATAATTCTTTGTTTGGACTGAACATTTTGTTTGTGGTTTTCCTCCAACGTTTTGTGGAATTTGAATCAATTTAGCTGTAATCTGGTTAATTATACGTGATCTGCTTTGTTTGTCACATTTATGTACAAATTCATACGTACCGACAGGACAGTCTGAAAGTTAAATGAAAGTGAATTTCATTTTCACAATGAATTCACCTTGGTTATTTACTATACAGAAGTAGAGCGTTTATGCTAACATTAATCAAGGAAAAGTGCTAAGTAACCCTTAACGAAACGATTTTGATATTCAAAGTACTAAGGGTTTCTATCTGAGGTAAGGTTATAAACCGATACTCGTCTTCAAAAATCAGTGACAGTAATAATTAGTTGGAAACTGACTTTTCACTAATTCATACTCTCTGGATAGTCAGCAGTGAAAAAAGAAACAATTTCCCCACTGAAGTTAAAAGTGTTCTTCTGATTATGGAACTATTAATTTTACACTGTTCAGGAATAGCAAACTCGTAGATGCAGCTACTTAGTGTCGAATAGTCTTCAAATGTTACTATTGTGATTTATATTTATAACACAATTTCGGAATTGTGAGTTATTCCGTCGAAATGGCACCTTTTGTTTGGAACTAAGTGACAGTGTACTACCTAGAGTTTCATGAAATATATGATAGTAGAGAAGAGGGACACGTTAGTATTAATCTTTCACAGTGAAGAAAAATTAGAACTGCTGAAATTTAGAAACGGTTTACACGAACCAGTGATTATGATGATAAAAATGAAACTACTGGATCTTCATTCGTTAGTGCACAACTGTTACTTTCCGAGTATTATCTGAAGAAATCAAAGTATTGAAGTATTATCCGGCTTCTCTATAGTATGTTTAGGGTAGTAAGCTAATCACAATGTTTACAGATTCACAGGTTTGAGTTAAATATTTTCAGCCTACAAATTCAGCCAAGGCTTTATTAATTTGATTCATTTTAGAGTTACTAAGTTACACAGTACATACGAAAGGTTTTAAGTTTGTTTCTGGGGCTATACCGTCTTTCAGTAACCCAGTGCTTTATAATCCTGGATTTATGCATGAAACAATGTGATGATAAAGTACTCGCAAAAGACTGAAAATGACAGTCATTTAGTGAAGCCCTGCACGTTAAACACTGGTATTCTTCTCGTATTGGGAAAGAGAAATTTGAAGAAATCAATAAGAATCACAAATATCAACGTTTACTGCACATGTCTTCACATGGATCAAGCCTTGAATATCACATGAATTACTGGGAAAATGGCAATCGAATTCGGGGCTGAGATATGAGCCAGTTTGCCGATAAGACTATAAAAGATTTTATTATAAGCTTGAACACGTCCATTCTCATTCTTGTGGTTACTATACTGCTATACTTTAACAACATCGCATACTGACAAATGAACTCATATTTTACTGCTTAGTATTTCTGAAATAAAACGACACTTACGCCATATTCATCGACTTTTAATGGTTGCGTCAGTGGTTATAGGTAGTCGGATCTCTCAATCCTTTAATTATAGTTAAGGAAAGACTTGAGTAAACCTATGCTTTGGGATGCTTTTGTGAACAAAAGATGTGGAGAAAAGAAAATCAAAAGCAACTTACATTCACAAACTATTAAATAATTTTTCACATCTATAGTACATATACGATGAATTGGATGGGATTTATGAATAATGTGAGTGTCCACTCTGTATCCAGTAGAATTACATTTTCCTTTAAAAATGTTCACTGCGTTACACGTACAAAGACCACATGTTTTTGAACAGACCTAATAGAATAATAATAATTTGTAATTTATAGATGAGATTACTATGCATTAGAAAGCCGAAGAAATAAAATAAGAACGTTTTTAAAACCATGTCACTCAGATACAACAGCTTGTGCCTCAATACAGATATATCAATCAAATCTCTTGAAACAAATTTCATAAAATAGTACCACTGGCAGGGATTTGTAAGCTGGGCATTTAGAACTGATTACCGCAATACAGGCGAAATTTCGTATCGAAGGCTTAAAATAGAAACAGTATTATTTCATTACCACCATAATTAGGAACATGTGGATCTTAATGAGTGAGTCTTTAGCAATAAAATTAAATATCCTGATGGTGAATACCTAAAGCCGTCAGGAACTCTTAGTGGAGCTTGATTTTACGCACCAAACAGGAGGTAGTTATTTATGACAACTGATATTATTAACAGCGCAGCTTGCATCCACTGACTGAAGATAACCCAGAAAACCGTTATATAAACAAAAAGGTTTCACAACAGCAAACACCTTCGCAACTTGTCTAGTTGTGTGGGATTTAAACAGTGACAAAGGAATTTAGGAATCTGTTCCCTAAATGCCTGAAATATTTTGCAGCAAGACAGTCTAGATTAAATGTAGTAAATGATGTAGATCTAACCTAAAAATTAGAAACTTTTAATGATAGGTGATATTGTTTTCAATAAATATGAGTGTGCCAATTATCTAAAAAAATGTTTGAACAATAAATTAAAGCCAAATAATTTACTTTACCATAAGATAACATCAAGTTTATCTGGTCCTTACCTATTGTTGTTGACAGATGTAACAGTCTTGCTCAATGGAATGCGAAATGGATACAGTGACAGACTATAGGAATTGAATACTTTATTTGGATATAGCTGATACCCGTAGCACTAGAGTGTGATATCGCGCCTTATTGTCTTAGCGATAATGTTTGGACATTTACAGCTATGGGTACTGGTTTCCAGTCTCAGTGGGAACACCATCACTTACTGGGTGCAGATAAGCCCAACTGATTAGTCAGCTGGTAGCCACCACGTAAATTACAGCAAAATGGGTATTCAGATTATATTGAGGCATTCAAATAAGATCCCATCTGCCATCATGAGTGGAACGATTCGATCCAGTGTAACAACGGGAAATCGCAAGTATCAATAAATATCTTTATCGTTTGTACAACCTGATACCGTTCTTTTTATTACTTTCTCTCTTAACTGTATAAAAATAGGTACCGAACTTTTCAAAAATGTACATGATAGTATTTGACTTTCATCCAATGGATGTCTATTAGAGGTAATATTGGCATTCACTCGAGCAAAGTGGTTTATTGTCTACTACATGAATATGCGTACGATTACTGAGTGCATTTCAATTTTTTCGACTCCTCGTTATTCTTGCATATACTATCAGAGAGTGAAGTATTTTGAGTAATATCAACTGAGTCAGAGTTATGCATATCAAAGTTGACAGACTGAAAAATTTAATTGCCTTCTGTTGAAAAGTAGTTAATTAATTGGTGAAACAACAATGAAACAAATTGCCAGTCGGTGGATGCTATCGATGGCTAACTATACGTAGTCTAATCGTAGCTAAATCTCACTAACAAGATGTTATAATGATGAAATAAAACTCACTCTTCTTCAAATGTTGAAACATGCACTGGCTAGCTGTACATTTTAAGAGGTCAAGACGAAAATCCTTAGACTTCAAAGACTATGTAAAGTAATCGGTTGGTTAAGGGCAATGCGTTTCTTGGCACTGTCTGTCGAATTTGCTAGCTTTTGATATAAGATGCTTATTTTGCGATCCTTCTTCTCCAGTAGTTAAGGACTGTAGATGACATGGCTGAAAATCTTTCACAATGACACAGATGTGTTTACTCTTTGACATCTAAAACTTGAGTATTCGCACTAACCTTTATCTTCAGATTGTTTATTCTCTCACACCAATTTACCACTTTGATATCACTTTTTTGTGGCAAATTGGGCCAATGTACCTGTGTGCAAGGTTCTGTGTTTATTTTATCGTTCAGTCTCTTTCAGGCCTTCCTTATGCTGCTGGTAGAAATTTAGGCTGTATAAGTCAGACTATCAGTGTCACAATAGAGCCACTGGTTTTATTTTTAAGCAGTAGAAAGAAGACACCGTTATATGGTAATAGTTCACGCGCAGTTGTCTAAAATTTATCTAAAAGTGAAATGATATGCTAGTGGTTTTGTGTTCTCTCAGCTTTAATATTCTGTCGTCACTACAAAATGTCAAAGCTCAGCAAATGCCAAACCACCGTCATCCTCATCGTGAGTTACGAATTTTTTCCGTCATTTCGAAATTATATGCCTGTGATACTTTGAAATCGTCCACATAATTAATTTCAAGTGTAACCAGTTAAATGTTACTAAAACAATAGTATGACGTAACAGTAGGATATAACAAGTGATAAATGTACATATGATAAGCGATGAATCCAGTCAGCTGCAATGAATCTGTCAATTAGCACTTTCTGTTTGTCGCATCCATTTGCAAGTCAAGAGGAGTTTGTACTCCTGAGAGATTTAGGTTTGTGTCAAGCAGTACAACAGACGTTACAGTTGAGCTATTCCTATCATGGCTGACCCTCTACAGAACTGGACTTATTACACTAATCAGTCATCATAAACTAATTAAGGTTCTGTTGTTCAGTCTTCCATCCTGATAGGATTCAATCAGTCAATTTTTAAAAAAGTTGCTAATAGACTGAGTGAAGTACGTCAGAACTCAGATCCGGACGAGAAAATGGTTATGATCCATTGACTGACCAGTTGACGGAAATGTGTATACAACATTTTGTGTGGCAGGAAATCAACCTTGCAATATTTGATGACATCTTCAAAACTTCTACAGATTTTCGGATCACGTTAGTTTTTCCCCTTGGGGGTAAATAAAACTAGGATGCTCTATGGCGAAAGCAGGAAGAGAAAAAGAAGTAAAAATGTATTCAGAAATTCTTACCCTGCCGAAAACGTCATCTTTACACTTTCGTCGATCACCAGCTAATTGAGCTTCGCACCATAAAGATGAATTGATATCGTCACAATTACTTTGATCTCTGATATGCAAATCACGATATCTTGGATTACTACAGGGAGTATAGCCTTGCCAGACTTGCTTTTGACAAATACCTGATTTTAGTTGGATGTGATATTCAGTACTGATATGTTTTGCACAGTGTAAAGCAGTTTTGAATTTAGACGGATCTGATGGATATCCATAATAACTTTTGTAAACTTTACATTCACATTTGGAAATTTCTTTAATTTGTGGTTTTGAGCAAGCTGCCAAAGGTAAAAATGAAGATACATTCTTGAATAAGATATTAAAAACAAGAAAAAAACTTTACATGAGAATGATAATGTGATACGACTTCAGTTTATAGTCATCCTTCATTTATCAACGGACTGCAGTAACCGAAGTAAAAGTCCTCTCGGAATTCTAGATGAAGCGTCACTAACATTTTAGACATTCTGCTTTTTAACAGGCAAACTTTGATAATGACATGCCACATAATAACATGCGATTAGATCTCTTTGGTTAGTATCATCACAGAACAATGTTGTGCATTTAAGTTGTTGAGTATAAACATAAGTGACATTGTTTGGCTGGTAATATGTCTTGAAATAGAATAACTTAAAATTTAGTTTAAGTGGGTAACAAAATATTCCAGTGGTTTAGAAAGCAGCAAGAGATCTGTTGCCAACTGATAATCTGCAATCACAATGAAATCTGCTCATATTTTGTCTGAGCTCAGAGTCATGAAGTGGCGGAAAAAACTAACATATTCAGTAAGTTGAGTGTATGTACATGTTTGTAATGCTAGTTTAAGCTGATTTAGATCTTCACACATATCTTCAAATGATGCTCAGATGGTAAGCATGATGTCATGCCATCAGTATTCACCAAAGACATACAGTACTCAGTGTTTCAAGAAAGCAAATCTTATGCTTTTTTATCCTAACTCACTAGAGTTTGGAATTTCTTGTTAGCAAACTCTTAGTTTGCAACTTTAACATAATGGGGGTTTGTGAAAATACGCTGAAAGCTTCAAGACATACCGTTGAGAATCAAAAGAATAATCAAACAACAAAATATGCACTGCATATTTATGAGAGTGTGCAAATACAGTAATTGTTTTTAATAAGGAAATATTTCGTTTAAATGTGTGCATCTTCAACGCTTCACGTTATTTATCTGACAGGTGTTGATCATACAGAAGAACTAGGAGGGGAAAGAATATTTTAAATCTTTGAAAACCTGCCAGAAAGCCTAAGCATCGAGAAAACAAATGCTTTCAGCACTGGAATCGCTGGATGTTTTATTAACACAGGATGTGAAGAAGATACTTTTAAATTCGGTTAGTGAATCAACAATTAGAGTAGTTCGAATTTTATGAAGTTTTCTCGGGTGGCTTTCAAAGTCACTCCTTCGTATATTCATATATCTTCGTTCTAGGGAATAAGTCAGTAAGTTTAACCTGAGGAGAAAATATTATTCTGACTACTTCAGTTCAGCGTATGTTTTATAGAAAATTAAATTACGGTTTCTATGTTCACAGACGCGGATAAAAGCTCAGTATTTCCTAGTAGAATCTGGGTTTTGAATTCATTTTGAAATCAGTCACAATGATAAAAGTATCCCAATTTTCAAAAGCAGAGGAAAGTATCTATGTAAAATACCACAAAACATCAGGAGATGCACTTTTGAAGGTCAGGGTATGGACAAACCAATACTTATGCACAGCGAAAATGTAGAAATCTGGATTACTTCACCTGATTGTCAAGAAATGGTTAGTCAAAATATAAGATAATGTGGGCTACATCTGTGAAGTGTAGCCTTATCTATTCATTTGACAGGAAAGTGTGCCTACTTTTCAAAATACAACTGATTAAATTTGGCATTCATGAGTGAGTTGTCTTCATTTTAGGAGACATATTTTACACGTGAAACACTTCCTTAAGCACACTATATAAGAGTAAGAAGAGGTAAAAACTTACTGTTTTTACACATTTTTCTGAATGTCAAACATTTCCTAATATTTCCTAAAGAAAGGAATGGGTTTAAAGACTGAACAGGTTGTTGTGAAATATCTGATTGTTGCTGTTGTTGGAAATCGTGTTGTTGTCTAATAGCTGCTGGGTCTACTCGATAAAGCATACACTTAGCAGCTGTGTAGCCTTTGTCTAAATCTAGTCGATTTGGTATGGAATAAGTGAAACTCAAGCAATCCGTACGCTTAGCACAAGCCAATTTGCATGATGCCAGTGTGAACTCCACTGCAATGGATTTAATCAAAAATCTGCTTAGAACACCTTGCTTGTTATCCATGCACGGATAATTCGTAGTGATCATTTGATAGTCAATATTGTCCAGTTTACAGGCTTCAAATCGGAGAAAAAAAAGAACAAAACAATTATCAACACAAAATAAACAGTTTGTTCGGTTAAAAAAGCTCAAGCTTGAAGGCATGTACAAAATAAGGAGCGTCAGTTGTTTTATATAGTTATAAATGCTTGTGCATCCAATTTCCATCTCAGTCAAATCTTTTTAAATCTGTTCAGGTTTCTAGTTGACTAAAACATTGTAGGCTGCAGTCTAAAATGCATCAATTCAGGAAACAATATCTCATGAAATGAAGAAGCTTGATAAAGCCAGACACGACAGACATTCGAGATGAGGGAGTAAGTAGACTTGGAAAGATAAATTGTATTTTATTTACAACAAAAGAAAATGTTTGAGGTTGCTTCAGTGGTACTCATCCACGTTTTGTAATCTTAGGGGATTTTCAACTGAGGGTTATTCAAGCTGCCTCAGTTATAAATTTCTAGCTCTTTACAGAGTTTAGGTCAATATTAAAATATTTACTTATCTTGAATCATACTTTACTTTGGGTGTTTTCATAATTTTATGAGGACTTCGTAAACTCCAATTACCTGTTCACTGGGGATAAACAATATCTAGATTATATCTTTTATCTGCATTGCATGAGAGCATCTCACCTCTGTATTATTATTTCACATGGTTCAGTTGGCAAGAAATTTGAGTTGACTATGGAGGCAATCAGTTATCTGCATTACTGACATTGTGTATCGTTTGAGATGTCATGTTCTACAGTCATATTATACAGCAAGCTACATTATTCCCTTGTGCTAGAGAGGAGTATTTCAGTTATTCCTGTAACTAGTTGAACAAATAGAAAGTAAAGTGTAGCGGAAACAGCACGATCCTATCAAACACAGTCACTGTAGTGGTTAGCTAAACACGCACACGATTCTTTAAAAGAAAATAAGTATTCATCAGTGATTCTATGAAATATGGCCAATTCAAAAAAACCTGTTTTTGAAGTTTTGATAGTAAGTAAGCGTGTATGATATGCATGGAACACGAAACTATGGATCGAAGCTATTATTTAATCTGACTAACTTGAGTAGTTAGAAACCACTACGGTTTCATCAGTCAGATAAGAGTGATCTAAACCCAGGACAGTCGTTCCAATCGTTTGCGACCAAACCTATGAGCAGTGTACTTCGACAAATTCGAATTTAATGTAAGTCAATCAGGCTCATTCATCAAGAATAACTTACGTTTGGTTTACAAGCAAAATCTGACTGTAAGTTTACCTTGTTACAATGATTTTGATTTAGTTTGTCTGTGGGTATAGTATTAGCGCAGTCTACTCAGTACAAAATCTAATAGCATATCCTGTAGCGCAAAAGCACACACTTTCATAAAAAAATTCCAATGAAAATAAACTAGCCACCAAATAATAACAAAATTGATGAGCTTGTTTTCAATAATAACCGAGTTTTTTCTTTCAAAGAGTACATTCCAATCAATGCACTAAAGGCATGACAGCTAAGTGCATAGCATTTAATGTCAGGTTTACGGAAGCTGGCACCAAAATTTATTATTATTCTGAGGTGTGCTGATATCAGTTATCAAAGTAAAGTAGTGACTTCAAAAAATTATTGCTTTAAGTAAGATAATAACGATTACCACTCAGTGGAGTAGACAGTGACTTCATCACGAAGGTATTTAGCAGCAGTGATGACAAGATTGGATTTATTTGCCTTATTTTACCTACATTAAAGTTAATTTACCTGAAATATCCAGTTAAATTTTTGACCTTTTTTAAAGTGGACACTTTTTGCATTAGTTCTTAACCTCATAACATGATGCCTGATTTAAAAAAAATAGTCTGTTTCTTGCAAGAAGCATAAATTGTGAAAAAGAAAACAAGGTAGAAATATTTTGCGCACCTATTCAATTTTATTTTCCTCTATGCACATTCTTAAACTGTGGACTGTAACCAATCTACGGTTTGAGCCCGTCCTTTAGAAGAGTCAACGTATATAGGGATAAATAATGGTAAAGCAAAGAAAACTGTTAGCTGAATTTAAACTTACCTAGACAACGACGACACGTTCTGCGACATAGCGAGTCGGACAGATGGCTAGATTTAGCACATATACGACGAGGTGACTGACTCATTTTTATGCACTCTTCAGTAGGAAGTAAATCTGTGCAGTCTAAAATATACCGCCTTGTACTTAAGATATGATTCAGAAGTTTAGATGTATTCTGTGCAACATTCTTTAATTTTGCAGGCACTTTACACTTTATTTGGGAACGTCGAATGGATTCTTGACATCGGCAGTTATTTATTTTGTAGACTTTAACAGTTACTATCATCCTACCTTGTTTGCAAGCTGAGTAGTGAAGGATATTTTTTGGGCATTCTAAATAATATAGAATAGTAATTGTTATTAGCTTGAGCGAGAAATAAAGTAAGGTAAGGGTTTATATTTCAATATTGTATGATTATAAATATTGTATGCAACACACTAGTAAAATCTAGCATTGTAGTCAAACTCATATTTGGCCTTACTATCCAAAAGTTTGGAAATCATCACAAGAATATTGATGTTTACCGAAGTTCAAACTAAACAATTTTTGTTTAAGACCATTTACTGATTGGCCCGACAGAGAGATCCATATAGATGCTATATTTAGTTAGTTTCATCACGAATATACGTTCACGGCCTGATCAGCTGAATTAGATTCCTTATCTGAAGTCCAACAATTAACACTAACATTGTTAACCCTGTAGATGCATCATAAAAGAATAAGATGATCGAATACATTTAGCCCTATGTCTTCGACAGTTGTGCTTCATAGGCGCAGAATAAAATAGCTGGCCTGTAAATTCATCACCTAGCAATCATTCAGGTATCTCACTAGTGTTTTAGTATGACATGCTTTGAAAGCACCAGTTAATAATTCTAAATATTTGTATTCTAATCCTTAAAGATAAGGACTATGTACACAACCTAATGACAGAATGATGACCAATGTCACGTTCCAGCTTACAATGCTTTTCGAAAACTTATCTCTAAAGTTAAATGAGGCAAATTGGCCCATTTTAAAACTTTGCCAAGTGGAAAGTGTCTGATATACAACACATGTCGTCTAATTTTTCCTGTCACATAAAGTCTGAATGATATGTTTACATGATTTCAAAATGTTAAACTTCGGTTTTCTATTTTGGAACCAGGAAAAAACATTTTACGCTGGCATTTCAATTAACATTTGGTTAGATTAATATTTTTAAGTATTCACAATGACAATACTGAAGTGATGTCATACAGTCACCCCATCAGCAGTAGATTTCCAAGTTATATGAATCAGAGCAATGAAGATTTTGACAATATCTTCAGTCATATTGAATAGTAACCAATGTTCAGAATAAGCTAGTAATTTGACAGTAAATGAAGACTCAAGTCTATTACTTTTTGAACGAACACACAACTTGTCTGCATTGTCTTTATGTTTTGATGTCAACAGGCTAAATTATGCGGCATTATTAATAAACGGTTATTCCATATTGGTAGCAGATTATGCTGTTTTCCTCTACCTAAAGCACACCATTTTCAGTGGGTCGGGAGATTTAACTCCGCTGAGTTTATGTAGCCAGATCACTTCATCAGGCGTCTTAGAGCAAATGTAACTGACGGTATAGCACACGAATCTGTACAAAAATTCTGGGCTTGGTAAATTATGCAAAAATTTTGCTCAGCTTGATTCCATATAGCTTGACAGCATGAGTGAATAACCTTTACGGAAAGCGCTTTTTCCAACGGTATTGAATCTTTTCGTTCATCCTATTCATATATAGGTCCACATAACAGTAAGTTAAATGTTGGTAAAATGTGAAATAGAATCAAAGAAATTGTGGTCTATTATTTTCACTACCACGACAGAAGAGATCTGCGAAGTAAGCTATAAAAAATTGTGAAGTAGGATGTGAGTTTCTAAGGTGATCAAAGAGTGTATGGGTGTGATCACCATCAGTTGGAAAAATAGTCTTAGATACAGCACTCATCTGTCCGCTTAGTAGTATGTTAGTAATGTGATACATGATTGCATTGTCTAGGTAACCATCGGTCTTTAAAAGTGAATGTATTTCATATCCATCACCCAGTTAGGCAGTGGTACACATCACAAAGCCTTTAAAGAGTACGTTTATACTCAGAGACAAAGCTACTGAAATTAATTTGTTATTCATCAAATGTTTGTTTGCAGGAGATTCATCGTCTGTCTCCCCTTTTGGTGTTTCTATATGATATCCAAAAATCTAGTCAACTGTTGACTGCAAACTCAGCATTCTTCGAAGTATTTAAATTTAGACCACGAAATACAGTAGTGAATCAACCAACTTTCCGACATCGCTCATAATCAAAGTATCTTATATCTGGCGTCTATGAAAAGTAGAGTTCTCTTAATACCTCACGTGGGTGTATCAGTAAACACTCAACAAGAAATGTCTTCATCATAATAAAACCAGTTTTTCATGCTAATCTTGTAAGTCAAATCTGATGCATGTCAAATTTGTGTTAATTAGAAATATCACCTGATTGTTGACATAATCAAAAAAGTGGTTCAAGGATTGATTATATTAAGTGGTGAAACGTGGGAAAACAAAACCTTCTTTTCATCTCAGTCTGTCGTCTACTTCTGAAAAATAAAGTTATGATGAGCATTTCCTAAGATAAACTGGTTTCCAGTAAAACGATGGATATTCCTTTATAAACGCGAATTTTTTTTCAATCCTTCTAACTGGTTAATAGGACAAACAAGTTCAAATGTCGAAAATGAGTTTAAGAAGGAAGTTTTCAAAAGATTTCAAAGCACCACGAGGTGTGTCACAGTTGGCTTCAATTATTGTTCAGTATTTTATCTACAAATCCAAGTATAGATCAAGACTTTTTCTGTTGGTTAATCTATTTTCTAATAGTTGAAACAGTGTTTTTCAATCTAATCAAAAATAAATTGTTTTGCATCTCTCTGTTCAAAAACAACAGTACAAAACCTATTTATCTGAAGGAGTAAAACAATAGAAATGATGATATTTGATAAAAGAGCTCATCATAACTTTTGTGAATTGTTCTCTTAACTCACGGATAATATCTTCTTTCACCTTCTGTTCAACTTTACACTCATATTTGTATTTACCAGATGGTAGTTTAGTCTTTTGAAGTTGTTCTCTAATAAAACGAATTTGTAGTCGATTCATTGGACCGTTTGGTTTGAGTGCAACGCATTGTTTCTGTATTCGAACAGGCAAACAAGCACATACTTGTTGTTCAACTACCTCAGGTGCCAAATCTTGACAAACACAATTGTGTTGCCGCCATTTGTGTACTCTAATTGTCCTGTATGATCGACCATTGTCAGCAAGTTCACACGGACCAATCGAAGTTTTAGTATCCGGACAAACTGAATGAGAATATAAAAAGAGAACAAATAAAACTGTTCATTATTATGTTTCATCAATGAGAGCTAACTGCGCCACTGAATGAAGTTCACTACTCACAAACTAATCGGGAAATTGTACTACTTTCAAGTTTAGATACAAGGTTTGATTTGATTTAAGAGTTTAATTGGTATTGTTGTACCAATGAGAGTAAGGTAGATGATTAGTCTTTAATCTATCTTGGTACAACTCTTAATAAAGTTATCCTCCATTACTCATATTGATCAGTAGTGTCGATGATGTGTATTCCTTATCAGTCCAATTATAGTGCGGATTGTAGACATACAGATTTTCCCACATTCCTTCAGAGTAGGCCAGGGAAACAGAGAACTAATTAAATCCGTAAACTATAAACGACAAAATCCTGAGATAAAAAAGATGATACAAAACACAAGCACATACGTACTTATTTTTCTTGCAGATTCCATTATATAGTGTGTTCGGCATGAAGCGTCGGACAGTTTGTTCAATCGATTCAGCCTTATGTATTCAACTGGAACTCCGACTATTTCTAGTCTCACTTTTTGTTTGTAAGTTAGAATAACACCACTCTGAGGATCACATTTCTGTTTAACTTTAACTGAATCATTGAGAACAAGAGATTCGTCACAACCACATGCTTCAAAGTAAGATCCATAATGACGGCGACATTCGCAATCTCTAATTTTCCATTCAACCCTTTCAACCAACCTGTAGATGAGGGCTGGATCAACTTGATCAATTTCATAGTTCATTTTTTGAACAGCTTCAGGATCAAAACGTCTACAACTGTGGCGGGTTACCGAAGGCTTGATGGAACAGGCTTCATGAAATATAAAAGATAAACAACGATATTAGATGACAAAATGAAATGCGTCGACTGGTTACAAGGTATATGGATGTTATTTCACTAGATAGTCATTCGGCGTGAATTAAGTAATATTTTTATTGTATCTATGATTTCACTTAAATGTAATCAACGAAACGCTACCGCTCATAATAAAACTACTAAGTACATGTCAATGAGTTCCCATTTTTCAGCTATAATTAGGCAGAATAGACTCACTTAGTGATAGTTACGGTAAATATTTGGACAAAAACGTCTCCACTGACTGGTTGATGTTAGTGTGTTTATGATGTACTACATTATTTCAGTAATCTAATGTAAAACTATCTTTGCTCTTTTTTTACTTACAAATAAGAGCAGATAGTGTTTAGTATATAAATATGATATATGGAGTTCAAATAACCAATTTGTTTCGAGATTGTTACAGTCATTTTCTTTCATTCAGTGCTGATGGACCTCTGTCAATAAATAGAACGTGACAGTTGATATTTCACTGAGCTTCACTTTACAATTGCAATAGTTGCTATCTGACATCCTGTCATTTATGAAATCCATCCGTATACTGTGGAAAACTGCAGCTCAAATAGATTGTGAGCGATGAATAGCACAAATGAAGCCTCAAACAGAACTTGATATTGAATGCCGAAACGCATAAATGTTTGACACAGTACTTTCTACTAATCATGCTTGAAAGTCTGAAACTAATACTCAAAGTAAAGGTTTTATACATCGCCAGAGTGACGTCAGTAAACATCTATCAGACCGTTGGTAAATGTAAACGCTTTAACCTACTTGACAGGAAAAGGTTATTTTCCCCAGAAGTTTAAAACAGCTGCAAAGCGTAGATAAAAATATATTATTGTAGCGTATAGACCAAAATGTATCCAGGAAATAAACCGAAAATTGAATATCAGAAACTCAGTATAGAAGTGAAGACGGTGAACTATATTGTTTCATCAGTCCTAAAAATCATTGTAGTCTATTTGGAACAGTAATCTGTTTACTTACGGATATACCTTTATCTGATATAGAAGTTTCTGCTGTATCTAACTTTATCCTCTACTCTATTACTCAAGTTTAATATCAGCTGTGAATTCAGTGGCAGGATAATGATGAACTTAAGATAGAACACGATGCAATCCCTACTGATTGATTTATTTTTTCTCTAAAGTGGTAGAATTGATATGTGAAGAGAAAGCACATTCTAAAAGTTTTATTTTTGTCTTGCAAATATTTCCTCTTATGATTGACACAATGCGGAAGTTTATTTTTTCATCAGCTAACTGTATATGCAATTAAACGATATGTTGATAAATCACTGTCGGAAACAGTAATTCAGAGATTTTTAAAAGAAATAAACGAAATCTAATGATATCTTTGTAATATTCACTTGAAATAAAAAATTCACTTCCAGACAATTTCACTAGAGAAATACTAAATAATGCTAGGGAGCAAACTCCTACCTTCGCTAAATTTATGTAATTCTTTCAGCGTACGTAAATGATTGTGGTGACTGGAATTCTGAACTAAATATTTCTGTTTCTTTTGGTCGTATAAGTTGTCCATGTTTCATGCTTATTTTATGTTTTAAGACATAGAAGGGAATTATTCATGTATACCATTTCAGTATCTTTAGTGATTATGAATTAAGATGCAACATGCTCAAATAGCTTCATCACGAAATTTATGTCAACGGAAGCAAACTGTGCACTTTACTTCAAGAAGTATGTTTAGTTAGCGAAAATCCAGTCAACAAAGTCGTTATATAAATTACAAAATTAAACGGTTTGTATGCTTTATCTGTCTATAATTCAGTTATTAGTATTTGGTGTTAAATTTCAAAATATGCAGAAAAATTACTCACTTATCGGTTGGAAATAATAACGAACACGTTGAACGCAAGAACCATTATTCAATTGAGGATCAACTATCTTTTCTTCAAAAACTTTTAAATCATTATGCTTACAACCAGCGTAACTAGAAGTACGATTTCCTTTGCAACCTGAGATATTTTTCAGTGAAAAAAAAGAAAGAAACATTTTCATTATGTATTGGCCTCATAAAGAAGGTCAAATCTGCATGGAAAATGAAGCTATTTTCAGGCTTTCTTCCTTTGAACGTGCTAAAGTCTACTCTTGAAACATTAAATTTATTTTCTAGTGGATGAATTATTATCGAGGTGAAATCTTTGATTCAGGCATTTTGACTATGGTAAATTCGACAACCCAATAAGAATCTAATGCATTGCTGCAACTCAGTGCAGTAGAAACATAATCACAGTAACCACTTCTTATTCATAAATGGTTCACAACAACCTTTTCTTTAGGACGGGTTAATATCGTTGGAGAAAGTGCCTAACACTTTAGTATTTTTGACATAAATATTTCAATATTTAAAAAAGCTATGTAACCTGAGTTGCCCTTCTACTGGAAACAGTTGACATCCAGATGAACTAAACAGAACCTTATGAATGCAAGATAAAATAATGACATTATTTTCATCAGTTTACTTGCTGCCTAGTCTTGAGTACTCAGCATGGAACGAAATCAGTCAAGTAAATTCTCAGTGTGGCCCTTTAGTTAAGTTAGGTGGCACTATGGTCCACTGCGTTATAGTGCTTGAAATTAAGGATTAATCATCAGGAACTTATGAACCCTAGATTCTTGCTTGCAAAAGCTCGGCACCAAGCCATAACTGCATTTTAAGGAAAATAGTATCTGGTTGTGGATTTCATTGTATCATTCAGTCACAGACATTGCCCATTTTGTTGCTAGGATTTAATATCAATCATGAGTCAGGTTTTATGACCTTTTCCGAATGATTCCTAACGTCTTGTCTTCTGCTTAGTCATTATTTTGATAATCACCATATGTTTTGGCTGATGTAGGTATGGATGTTTTTAGTGACAACAAATGATATAGGTCTAGCAGTATACAATCTGAATACTAATTTGGTCAGCTAGATATTCTAATTTACTGCAAATCGTTTAAATTTTCCGCCAACAACTGGATATTAGTTTAAATTCCAAAAGCCATACCCATTTAAATCCTTATTATGACGCTATTAGCAGTCGCTTGTCTATCAGTAACATTACGACAGAATGACAAGAAATTTAGTTGACAGAGTAATTTAATATACTCGGGTTTCTAAGCTTAGTCTGTAATGCCCTGATTTAATAATTCAGAGACTAACAGTCACTAGTCACCACGGTACTTGTATTTCCACTTTAGTTATTTTCTCTGGAACAAGTAAAAGCTATGGCTGTGCACTTTCTCAAGATAAGCTTATGTTTCTTCTTAGCTAATGGCTTTATAAGAAATCCGGCAAACGGAAAATCGACTTTGACGTAGTAGGTTTACATTGAGTTGACATAAGATGATGAATCTAGGTTTTTTTTTGTCACATCAAAACAACCCAATAAAGTTGTTAACCGTCAAAAATTGAAATAATCTCATTCATGATACTATTCAGAGAAATTGTATGTGAACTATTCTGCTTTCAGGTTACTTCAAAGAAGTGAAATCAATACAATAACCGGTCCCTGGATGGTCAGTGGTGTATCGCTTGGTCTTAAATCCTCGATGAATTACATTGACTGTGGCTCGGCTATTTAAACGTGACACCAACCTTTTAACGGTGTAGTGCGTAAGACCAACTATGCTTCAAAGAAAACATCGTTTGAAAATCAATCATATTTGATAAAGAAATGAAACAAAGCGACTTACAGCAAGTTTGGTGCTCCACTTTAGTGAAGCGTTTACATTTACATCTCTGAGCCACATAAGTCACAACCGTTACACGTTGTTGGCATGTCAAAGAGTCACAGGCTGCCTTGAACACCTTCGGTTGTTTACAGGCTATAAGTACGGAGAATTTCGCATTCGAAAACATTTTATAGATAAAATGATAGTAGTGAAAAGTTTTCAAGGTTAACCAAAAATATTATTTAACGGAAATCAATAGGTGACTTTTTTAAGAAGACCTACGTTGAAGTCTTTTACAAATTAACGGTTAAAAATGATTGGTCAGCGGTTACTTTGAGTTTATCCAAGGAACATATAGTCAAAATACAAGGAAGAACAAGTTGAATAAACAGACTATAGTGAATTATGTAGGTTGACGAGGTTGTGGTCTTGGAAATCACAACGTGCACCACTGAAGAAGGAAGCTGAACCATTTAGACGGTTTCTAATCCTCTGTGAAATCAGTTTGTGCACAAGAAGAATTCCCAGCTTTCATCGATTTTTCCGTTAACAAGGAAAAGGATGAATAGAATGTCAGTAAAGGCTTAATCTTTAAGATGACATTTGAACTGACATTTCGATCAAAAATGATTGACGAGGTTGGAATCTCTCAGTAACTATAGGTGTACACAGGGCTTGAAACAACAAGAACAGTATTACTAATTTTAAGAGCTGTCTGCTTATTGTGAAGCGCGTATTAATCTAGACCAATGTTACAGACCAATATTTCTGAGGAACAGTGAAACAGTCAATTAGTGTCGTATGATTTTGAAATGGTGGAGAATATTCGTAGCTCAGATGGATTATCTCGGTTGCATTGTGTTCTTTGGACTCAGAGAAGACAGCATAGTGATGATAGTTACTGTGAGACAGTATTGTCGAGGATTAGTGCATATTGAAATCGCGTTGAAATTGTACTGCATACTGATGATGGAATTAAATTTCCCAATTCCCTTACGTTGTGAATTTCTGTATTCTTCTCAGTTCTGTTGCCATAGTTGTAAAAATATTGCAATAAAAGTAATTCTTGTATTCAGTGCATGATTTTGTGCCACAGTTTTGTTGTTCTGTTTTCATTTCATCTAGACTTAAATAAAGGGACTTTCTTTGCTACTATGCATGTGAACAACAACTCGGACAATAAAAAACACGCTGGTGGACCAGAGGAATTCGTTTCAACTTTCCGAGTTTCGTCAACTTGTGAGATATTTTTAAGCTATTGTTTTCCAAAACTTTAGTATTTCTAATTCAGTTATTTAGTTCTGAATAGATAATGAGGTGTTTCATCAAGTTTGGAAGGTCCTAAGCTTGGCAAAAAATAATCGGTTTGAAACCTACAAAAGATGCATTAATGATATACTTTTATTTTCTGAGGAAGAGAAACTTAATTCACTCATGTTTGTATCGAATGCAAAAGATTTGTAGCACAGACTGTATCATATTTGAATTCGACTTCTAAAGCTTGCTACCCTAGTCGATTTCTTGGTAAAAATATGTGGGAGAGACATGAGAAACCAATTCACTCAGTTTCCAAACAGACTTTGCTCATGAATCTGGAATTTAAAGGCTATCCAACAACAGACATCTTGTAAAATTGTCTTTCGAGATTACTTAGTGGAAAGTTTTTTCCAGCCGAACTTCATGTAACCCACACTAGTGGTAAGTTGTTCTTTTTGTATGTAGAAGACAGGCTACCTCCATGTGCATCTACCAGTCCAACTGCTCCTGGGGAGAAAGATACATTCATGATACCCAGATAATTCTGTCAAAACGAATACGGAAACATATTCCAACCGGGTTTATAGGGGTGAACGAAAATGCAGCAAAAGTTCTATCCCTGAAAATATAATCTACTTTAACCATTCAACCAACTCAAACAATTATTTTATGGTTGTCTCACGAATTCGTTTAAACGTTTCACCTTTTCTCTGGCTTCCACTCTTAAAAATAGCAGAAGCCTCGGATGTCCATGTACTGAAGCCTCACCTTCATACAGTCTTTGTCTCTACCTTGGCCTTAACTTTATTGGGTTTTGGTCTGTTTGGTTTCGTTGTTTTCGACTTTTCCTTTTGTTAAATTAATCTCTGAACTCATATCTTTATTACTTCTATTAAAATAATAGCTTCATGTGTTACTTCATTTAATTTCCCTAATAATTGAAACTCTAAATAAAATATTTTCAAATTTCAATTAACTTGTCTCATTCGTATTCCTTAATCCCTTGACTGTTTACTAGAGCTACCATCTGTTCACCCCACTGTAATCTAAACACACCATGGGAACGATTTAAAATCCTTACATAACTCGTTTTTTTGATTTCGTCCAATCTTTACGTCATCCACTAGTAGCATTATTATGACGAAAACCATTATTTCAATATCCCATTACTTAAATATAATTTTTCTAACAAATTGCAGTCTTTAAGCATATGTACAAATGTACAGGATGAGAACAAATTTTTTAAGAAGAGTTCTCTTCCCTGAAAATCTTTTGATATCACAGAAATATGTGTGAAATGTGAATGAAACAGTTGTAGTCAAACCAATTGCGAAACCGCACACTGTTTCATTTTGGGGACCAAAATGTTTAAAAGCTCATCTTTCTGAAATGAATCACTCCAGTTAAACTACTAATGACAAGGCCTGCTGAAGATGAACAAGTTTAGACAACTAATACCGCTGTTTAGGGTGGAGAATTTCCAACAATATATTACAGATAATATAATATTTTATTTGGTCTTTTTATGTAAGAACTAACGGGAATAGCTTCAAATATGCTTATGGAACCGAATTTCTTTGTAAGGAGTTTTAATATTTGAAGTACAATTTAAATGCTTGTCAAAGGTTACATTATTTCCTAACTTACCCAATTTTTTATGAACATCTCTTCGTTGCGATAAGCATTCACCTTCAACAAGTCGTTCATAATGATAATGGTGTACTATGACATCATCGCCGAAGCAGGTTTTAGTGTTGTACTTTTTAGTACACCGACATCGAACAATTTTATCACTTTGCTTAGTCTGAAAGTAAGGAAGGTAAAAAGAAGTACAGAAATTAAACATCAGTGTGTGTACATAGTATGAAATATTTTCTTCAGAAACGCTTTACTGTACATCGCTATGATAAGTTTCTGAAATCACTTCTTGTAATGAAATAAATTAATGAAACCAAATCCAGTAAAGGTTTTTGAAATAGCCTTCGGGACATACCAAAAGTGTGAGGGGTTTATACCATCCGGTTAACCAGAGGAAATCGAATGTAGTGGGATTTGAACTTAAAACCAATCATTGAAAAGTTAAGTGCTTAATCACCAGTACAAGTGAATAGTTTAAACATGTCTATGAGTGACCAGATATGTAGTATTAAGCTTTGCACAAAGCACTAATGACTGGTTAAAAGTCATAGTAAAGCAAGGGTGTAGTTGCTGATGGATGAATCCAGTAGAATTTCAAGTCATTAAAAAAACTGCAAACTTTTATGATGTAACCATCTTAACCACTAAAATAGCGCTGATGCTTTTCGATTTAATATTACCTATATAGGCAACACTTATTTCTGAATGAGTAACGCGTTAAACTGTGATACGATAAAAAGCACAACACTTGCCTCGCATTTACAATTTCTCAGATAGCGATGAACTGTAACTTGAACAGCTTCCCCTCGGGCATTACATGTTTTGATGAAGGTTTGGTTTCCTGGCATACATTCTAAAAATATCATAGATTGAAACTTTCACTCATCAAAAAATGAATACAGAGTATGATCAATACTAATCCTAATGTTTTAGTCTTCTAAGCGAAATTATCTAGTCTACAATGAAAAGGAGACAAATATCAGCTTCACTATAAACAAACGCAAGGTAAGGCATGAGAAACGAAGAAGACAACCTTACTAAATAAGTAACATGAATCTGGATAAGATGTTGTAGTGAAATAGGCAGTTATTTGAGAGAAAAAAGTATATATAGTCACTACCTTGGACTACTGTTGTATACAACATAGGCAAACTAAAATGATTGTTTTACTTCTACCTACCTCAACCATAGATATGTCCGTGGAGTAGCAGTATGATTTGGGTTTCATTCAAAAATATTACATATGTGACTTATTGTTTTATGATTGCTATGCAAATCTCTTCAGTACCACCTTACATCAAATACAGACTAAATAGTAGAACTTTCATGGTGTTTTCATCTCCAATTATCTAGTTAACCTATATATCAATAATTCTTTTATAATCTTGTGTTCTGAGATGTAAAGTTCACCAAGACTTAAAAAAACTTAGTGTAGCTATACCCATTTGATGAATGAAGTCTAAATCTCGTATAGCTATTCACCAGTGGTGAGTAAATACTCGAACAGGTGATGAAATTATATAAGAAATGTAAGTAACAGA